TATTTGTTATTAAAAAATATTTTTTAATTTACATAGATTATTTATTTAATCCGAAAAAGTTAAATAGTAAAATATTTGTAATTTCCTCTTAAATTAATTCGCTTGAGTATACAATGAAGTTGTGTATGAATATCGAAAAAAAAGTTGAGAATGGTAAGGGATAAAGACAGAGATGTTAATTTTTTTTATTCTTTCTGTAATTGATTTTGCCATTTTTTGCATTTGTTATGTCCTATCAGATTTGTTGTTTAAGGATTTCACATTTTGTTCCGTATTATATATGTTTTGTCTTCAAAATATGTATTTGAATTAATATAAACAAATAAAATCATATTTCAGTAAATCTTACTGTCTGCTCAGCAACGTTTATTAATACTTCAAATAGCCACTATTGATATTATGTTTTTCGAAAGGATTTTAAACGTATAAAGTACCGAGTTACAAGTGCTAAATCCCTGTATTTAAGTAATTTTCCTTTCTCTAAAAAGAGTTAGAATAGAATACAATAGCATTATGATAGCCTGAAATAAGAAGCTCATTTATATGAGTATTTAGTAGTTACGATTTTCGTAAAAAGAGGATAATTGTAAATTTGGCCATTTTCAAAAATCGCATTTCTTTACAGATTTAACAGACGATGTAAAGAAAATGCAATTATAAATGCCACCTATGGCAGTATTACTCCATCTTCTCAGTTTAATAAAATAATCATCAAGTGATCTTATGTAAAAAGATTAATCGAACCATTGTACGATAAGGGCAGTCACAAATTTTGAAAAATAATACTGAAATTTAGACGAAGAATGTTGACACATAATAACATTCTAATTATAAATAGATATAAAGGTGAAATATCGTAAAGTTAGGATATATATAGGCAATTAAAATTGCTGAAAATATTTTCTAACCTATAATTGCTTTAAAAGAGAAAACATTGAAATGTGCACTGCAATCTGAATAGTAATAAACTTTTAGTTCAAAAGGAAATTTTCATACTGCTATCGGTATAAAAATTAGAATAATCAATCAAAAATTCATTCAATCAAATTAATTATCAAACCTTTTTATTATTACGAAATCCCAATATGTCAGAATATTATTTTACTTGGTTTTTACAAAGGATTTAAATGATTATTTGAATAAAAAATTTCACATCCTCTAAATAATATTCTTGATTCTATAGGTTATTAATAACCAAATGTTATAAAACGCGTATGTTATCTTTTTCCATGTTTTTTTATCCAAAAGAACAATAATTTTTCAATCAACATTATTTTACAATTGCAATTATATGATTACACGATGCTTTATACAAGCGAGTTAATTAATAGATATATGCGCAGGTGTAAGTATATGTAAGTATTTAAGGATGTGAGCATATTATAAAATTATATAGTCGGTTGTCAATAATACTATGTACCAAAATGAAAATTATATCTACATATTTAATTGACTCATTTTTAAATTAATTCAACTTTATTCATTTATTCAAATTAATTTATCAATTGTTACTTATTTTCGAGACAATTTATGTAATTTTCTAATATTTATTAAATTATATAATATTATTTTAAAAATATATTCATATTTTCTTTTGAATATAATATTAGTTAAGTAACACATACTTTCATAAATATTTTTGTCTTACAAGCATTAACAGAATATACTTTTATGTTGAAATTATTCAAATGATTTATTGATTTTTGTTTAACGTTATTAGTTGTCAAAAATGATTGTTCTTTCAAGGTCTCATTTTTGAAAAGAAATAAGAGTTTATGGTGTCATATCTTGTTAACAAAAAGTAGTAATATCACTAGAATATTATTTTTAACAAACAATTTCTATCAACCAACACTAAAAAATTATTCTTTCACAAATATGTTTATTTTGGGGATAATTTTTATATGAAACATAATTTTTTTTTAAAGAAACATCCAAATAGTTGTAAAAATTATGTATTATATAATCTAGTATTATTATGTAAGTAATTTACATAAAACTGTCAACCCATATTTATTTCTAAATGATTTGTAATGAAAGATTTTTTTGAAAACTTGGATTTGACAATATATAATATAGTTCATTCTGTTTTATATAAATTTTGTTTATATTCCAAGAAGTTTAACAATTATATATATATATATATATATATATATATATATACATACATATATATATATGTATAATATTATGTATATTATTATATAAATCATTCTGAAAAAAAAACCGATTTAGATTGGAGTTACTGAATTTAAAATAATGGATCATTAATCCAGTCAAATGTATGTGTATTATGAATCAAAACAATTTATTTAGTAAATAAGTGAACTATAACAAAGATCAATAATTTTATATTAAATGTAAAATGGAAAAAATGTGTTTGCGAAATAAAAGAAAGTTATCGCTGTTTTGAAATAAACTTTTATCGTAAGCTATATTAATATGTTATTCATTTTGGCAGCAAAGTAGAAGTACCGCTAATAAGTTTGACAACATTCTTTGCATATTTCGCCAAAACTAGTATAAATGTAAATTGTGCAATTACATGCATAACAAGTACATTGCGAGAGACCTTCGACTGAAAAAATAAACAATTCAAAATTTCTCTTAGGTTAATTAGTAACCTATAAGTTAATTAGGAGAGATCATTTCAGTAAAATTTTTCGTTATTGCAAAATATAGATTCAGTTATATTTTGTAAAATTCATCGAGATATTGGTGTAGGATTGTTCTTTGAATTGGTAGAATCGTAATGAAGTGCGAAGGGGAGGTATGGAAAATAAATATAGATATTATTGGTATAAATCATATGTCTCAAGGGGCTGAAGACATGAGTATGTGATTAATGAATAGGGAAAATAATAGATGATAGACTGTTATGCTTAAATTTATCAATAAGAAAGTGCAGCCTATCGGAAGTACTTTTATCTTTTTTGTCTATTGTTAATGTTCGATAAAGGTGATACTATTATAAAAAACTAGAATATAAATTTATAAATTTAAGTTTGTTATTTATAATTAACAGAAAGATGCATTAACGTTTAGGCAAATATATTTCAAGATAAATAAACGTACTTTTTGAGAAAAGTTTGGTATTTGAACTTTAAGTAGTTTTATAACTATAGGTATATGTGTGTGTGTGTATTTTAAATCTATGTAAGAAATTAAAAACGCAAGAAGAATTTAGAAAATTTTGAAATTGATATTAATTAAGTTATGCATAAATGGATAATTACATTTAAATTTCGAAAACTTATAAAAAGAACTTCATTCAGTTATAACGCATTATTATTTAATTACTACAATTATGACACTTATACCAAGGTCGAATTCTGATTTAATTGGCATCTTGACAGAAATAATACACACCTATGAATTGTTATAGTTTAAAAAATCGAAGGTTGGGTAGAAGGAGAAAGCAGACATAAGATTGCTTACTATAGACAAAAACGGGAGAGGAAGTGAAAAGTTTGCAATCTTAACTTTCTATATGGTATCTCACTTTATTTTTGAATTGAGTGAAGTTCAATCTTCCAAATTACCTTTTTTATAGTAATATATAGATGTATATGACGATACTATGTTAATGATATATGAAAATGTCAAATTGATCAGTACTGAAAATGAATTTTATGAGTGAAGTGTAAATCTCGATAATTCTAGCTTATTTCGTGATCAATCTTATATTCTTTTTAAATAAGTTTGGCCGTGACCGAATTTTTAAATTGCTGGATTTCTATAATTAATGCGTAGATTACTAAAAACTACCCAAATATTTCAAAAGTGACGTTCGAAGAAAATTGATTATTCTCATAAAATTATTTTTATTCTTTATTAGCATTCAGTTTTTATTTGCTTTTGAAGATTAAAATATAACGATTAGGTGAATGAGAAAATACAAATTTACTATATATAAAGCATACATTGATATCCAAATCATTGGCACGGATTGACTTTAGTAAATTACAGATAAATCTAATTTAATTATATGTTTCGTCGCTATTAAAACAATAAATATATGCAAACTTTTAATGTACACAATGCATGTATACATATTTAAGTACATTCATTATTTTTATATATGTATAGTATGGGAAAATTAATATAATCAATAATATTCAAAGAAATTGAATAAATTTCTGTTACTTCTTTAATTTGTAAGCCAATAATTGAATAATTTAATAATGTAATCATAGACAAAAATATATCGATGTGTACACATTAGGGAAGAAGTTCTACAAAAGTTGCTGTAAACATATATTTGTTTATCCAAACGCACAGCAACATCGATATATTTTGGTATATAATTGCATTATTAGCTTATAAATTCAAAAAGTAGTACAGATTTATTTGTGTTGCTTGAAAACTATTCATTATGTTAATTTCTTCTTGCCTATACATCTTATTATACAATATATATATATATATATATATAAAGTATTGTAAAAGATCCCTAAAATATTCTTTTTATTACTGATAGTTTTACTATATCTATCATATATAAATTTGTAATGAATTTGTTATGCAAGTTTGCCATTAAAAGCAAAATTATAAGCTATATCTTCCTCGATAAGTCTAAATTGATAAAGCACTTATAAATACAAAAAAATACATACCCACTGTTAATACAATTTTTACGCAAGACTATATAAAATTAAAATCTAGTAAATGTTTTATTCTCGCTCGATAATAAATACAAATTCCCGCGTACAATAAAGCAGAAATTTTACACAAAAAAAGAATCACAGTCCTACCTTTTCCGGATTAGTCAGCTCATTCTTTGTCGGCAACGGTTCTTTTCATAACGCGTCGCGTCAAAATAATTGGACGCTCACAAAAAATATTGCAGCGTATAATCAAATCATCGAACCCATAAATGTACGAGATGGAAAGATATGTTGTAGCGCCAGACATTACGGAAGTCGGCAAAATTGAATTCCATTTGATGTGAAGGTGATAATTGGAATGAAAAAGAAAGGGAAAAAGTTACAAGAACTTACTTTTTCTCCTTGCGCTGTTGTTTCTTCTTCTTGAAGGCCTTCTTCACTCGGAGAAGTAGGAAAGCGGCCCGATCGATCGTGAGGCTCGGACTGCCCTTATCGCCGCTCGACATCTTGCCACCTATTCGCCTCGACACCTTCGCAAACATGGATATTCACGTTAATGAACTGCCATTGTACATCTCATTACTTGACTTATTCCCTAAGAATTAATCGATACTTAACAGGCGCACTTGGGGACTACGTTACATTTACACTCGACCTGCAATGGGGTATAAAATTTTTAATTTAATTACGAGCCGTCTGCGTAAATATGGATGTACACCGCCTCCAGCACTTAAACTGCTCTATCAAGTAAGTTCTCATGTTCATTTTTTTGTAATTCTTCGCCATTCGTTATTTTACCTTATCTTTCAGAATTATGCTTAAGTAATTATTTTACTTTCCATGGAAAAATGTGTAAATTACAAATATTGTTTTTCCATTATTGAAGCTATATTGAGTTGTTGCAATATCGTTACTAAATACAATGGAATTACATTACATCTTTGCGAAGACTGATTTTTAATATGTAGTTACAAATTTGATAATGATTAGCAATATTATCGATTAAATTGGCAGCGTGTATAATGACTTACATTCATTTTCTCAATTTTGAAAATAAGTTTTATTATTAACTATATACCTCGATCAATACTCTTTTTGTAAACTGCAATTTTTGAAAGATGCGTTTTAAAAAATAGAACCTTAAATTAAGATGGAACAATGAAATAAATGTTTTGTTGTTTAAAAGGATAAGTTAGGTAACACGATCAGTATTGTAAATGATACTAAAATAATAAAATCTATTATTTATAAGTTAAGCATACAAAGTAATAATTTTAGATATTTTAGAGATGTTCAGTTAAAAATTTACCGTTAAAATAGATAAATGGATATTAATGATGGCTTAGTATGATATTACTAATTTTATTAATTTTCACAGGACACATAATAAAAAATGACACTAGCCTATCATACTCTTTGCGTGGATAATATTTTTTTTATTTATTTTCATTCTTCACATAACTCAAAAGCAATCATTGTATCGATTTAAATTTATCAAGATTCATTTACTCGGTAAAATCTATTTTTCATTGAATTAATAAGTTTTATAAGTTTCATTCAGAAGCTTAACGTTCTTTATTAAATATCAAATAAAATATTTTATAAGGCAGCTTAACCCGTTACCATTAAAATTACCATTAAATAAATTAATGGATTGAATAAAAAGTCAAAGATGAATTTAAATGAAATTTGTTTGAAAGAAAAGTGAGCTGTAAAAATGGAAAATTTCTAACATAATTACTTATTAATTGTAAATGTAGTAAAAATATCTGTTTATACGTTGAAACTTGGCTTCTTGAAATTATATCATGTCTTTTAATATAAAAATTGATATCGTACAATTTTATAAGCAGTATTTCTTAAATACATTAAATTTTTTTTTACTTTTCATCGAGATCACGTTGACAAAAGTAACATACCTTTGCGTAATAAAAGAACGAGAGAATTTTGTTAAAAAATTTCTTTTAAAAAAAAATAATAAAAATCCATTTTATTTATATATTATTTCTGTTAAAAATATTATTGCTTTTTTATCATTTTTAAATAATCAGCAACAAAAAGAATTTTACATAAATAATTATTCTAAGCTCCTGTTTTAAAACCTAAAGTACGTTTTATTCAAATTTCAAAAGATATTACAATCTGCATAATTGTTGAATAAGAAAGTAAAGAGAAAATAAATAAATAAATAAATCGCATGAAAGTTAATTAAGCCGGTTTTTATCCACGGAATGGTAATTATAGTTCTCATTATTGCATTATAGCCTTAAATATCTCTGAATTTTGTGAATAAAATTCGTTCAGAAACAGATATACTTGACAAATATTTAAAAGTATTTATTAAAAACTTTATGATAATATTGAACAATATAAATATTTTGTTATTTTTATAACAAAAAAAAAGAAACAATCAATTCTAAACTTTTGAAAATTACAGATTATTTATTTATATAAATTTAACTTTGTTTTTTTTTTTTTTTTTTATAAACGAATAACATAATTTTTAATATACAGTTAGTTTTTATAGTACCCTATAATAATTACCAATACTTGAGTTCATTTTTATATCATTCTTTGTTAAATGTAAGAAGATAAATTAATTTGAATTATTAAAACTGTTTAACACGATTTATTTAAATTGTGGGATATATTTTAAACGAGTAAACAGAAAAAACTTTTAAAATCAAAACAGTTTTGCTGATCTGAAAACTCTCGTATTTATAGAAATAATTTCTAGAAGCAAGCTTCATATGAATAATTTGCATAATTCATAATCCATCTCTTTTCAGATTTCTTGGAGTTCCAGATTTTAAGCACTTTTGACAGGCTAATAAGATAAATTCGTGTTTTTATAAACTGCATATAATCGTAGATCAAACACAACAATTTACTTCAAATATAAAAAAACTGATCAATAAATGAAACGATTTTAATTTCGCGTACATCTAATTTGTATGATCGTGCGAGTGTAAAATCAAAGTGGAGAAATTTAAGCAAGTATCTACGTTAGGGATCCGGAGGAATCAATTTTACAGTCATACATCTCACGAATTAAAGTTGATATTTAAATAAAATCCACTGCAATAGCCAGCGGTATTGTTCCATGTTGGTGGAAGCTAATCTGACGACACATTTATCAAGTGTTTGCGGACGAGTAGCTTGCTAAAAGGCCAGCTCTTTTGTTGTAAAAATAATTCATTGTGCGCGGCGAGCGCTGATGTGCGCAAATGATCCTAATTCAGTTGAATAATGGGTGACAAGGGGACCGAGGAATCAGGGCGGAAGGCAAGCAATACAAGGGTGAAGTCGATCGTCCTATGAATTTTTGTATAGGGTGAATTGCGTGATGTATACCGTGAAAATTGAGACAAAGCTTAATGATCTAACCTTGAAAGTCAAACTCTTATCTATTGTACGTATCCTAAAATTCTACTGCATTTTCTGAATCGCTCGGTTTTATTCTTCATAGCAGCCAACTTATTAAAAAATCGTCATTGTTTGCTTGGTTTCTTTCTCAAAACAATGACCATCCATTGAATTCATTATATCGTTCATAGTATATATATATATATATATATATAAAACTCAAATTTTTTTATCATACAGTTTCGCAAGGATTTAAAATTTTTCACTAAAATACAGGTTGTTTATCTGTAGAAAGTTACATCTATTATAAATTTATTAGAAAATTAAATTATTTTTTAACTTTTGTGATAATAGGGTTTCGTAATAAATATATTATTAAATACTTATCGAAAGTTTTTGTGACAAGAGATAGGTATGCATATACAAAGTATTTACGAATCATTGTACATTTTTTCATGATTTTCTAGTTTTTATTGTTTTTTTTTTTATAATAACGAAAATTATCAATTTATTGTAAAAATAGTTGAATAAATATCAAGATATGTTTAAACAATAAACATTTATTAAATTTTATTATTTATGCTGTAATATATTTCTTGACTTTGAACAATTACTACATTTTAACATTAAACTAAGAAAATGTCTGTTTGCAAGAAAGAATCATTCGAAAATAAAATGGAATGTGCATCAGTCGCAATGTATTAGATTCATCATATAATCTGTCACATGTGTTACGTAACCAATATGAAAATGATACTATTCTACTTTAGAATCAAAATAAATATAGATTATAAATTTTAAGAAGATACTTTAAATTACATGGATATGTTTTAAATTAATATTTATTTTTAGACAATTAAACTGATGTAAGAATTTATCGCAATAAATTATAACATTACATTGATAAAAGAAGTCCAAATAGTAGTTTTTATGATGAATGGTATGTATTTTATAAAATTTATATTACTAAGCTCGTATATTTCGGCTTTGGCACGTTTCATTAATTTTCTTTACAATTATTAAATTTTTACTTTATTTAATACAACTCAAATTTTGATTTCATTACCTATTAAAAAAATTCAAGATATCCGAGATAATATAAAATACAATTAAAATTGCTTTATCGAGTGAATAAGTAGAGCATCATTTTGAATTAATAAGAGATAATTTAATAAAATTTTATTCCATAATGAAGACAAATAGAATAATAGTTATTTAAAAATTTTCTTTTTTTTTAAATTGAATAATTACGAGAATGAAATCGCAACGATCTGTTCAAAGCTATCTCGAAATAACGCATTTTTATATCTATTAATCAAACTTTCCTACTGTTTACGCCATAATTAAGAAATGTTTTTGTTTAGTCAACTTATTCAATGATTATATCAAATTTTATTATCAATCAAACATAAAAAAATTTAGATAACCGGTTACTTGTTATTTCATAGTAATTTTAATTTAAATATTGCGAATATTCTGCAAATCTGGAAGCAGTAGTTGCGCTCTTTTAAGAATAGTAGTATAAAAGTGTTGGTGCGGCAACATTCAAAAAAGTTAATTGGGAGAACATTATTTTGTATGAGTACGAATAAGTTTAAATTAAAAAACACAAGATGTTATAAATCATTCTCATCAATTTTTCAATTAAAAGAAGTTTAAAAGCAATTTCTGCATACCTGCATTTCAAATAACCCAGCTATAGAAGCTTATATAGTTACAATAGTCGATTGTGAAAACCCCTTGATCACAGGCTTAAAATTTTCTGTTATGGCATAAAGATCAATCGGGCAATAGCTTACCTATACAGAAATCCGATTAAGTTCTTCATCTATACATCTTTTCATTTTGAAGCAGGTGATTTACGTAAATTAAAAATTCATATTTAAACAGACATAATTGTTATGCCTTTCTAAAAATTAATGTCTTCTATCAATAGTTTTATCATCAAATTGTTATCTTATTAGTAATATTAGTCAACACTTTAAATTTGAAATATTACACTTGACAATAGAAATAGAAATAAAATTCATAATAAGGTAAAACAAATTATCTATAGTATTCGAATAGTTTGCCGAGTCTAGTGATTTATATGGTATTGCATTACTTCTACTATTTTCGTCTTTAATATTTCAATTCATTACACTGTCGTATGAATGCCAACTAAAAATGTAATAATATATTCTTGTAGAATTTATAATCAAACAAATTTTATTTATTTGCTAAAATCTGTAAAAATATAGTTATATGTGTCTGGAATTTATTAATATAAACATGTAAAAAAATATGTATAATATTTAATTTGATTAAATATATAAGCAGGAGCTCCTAAAGTATAACGTGACTAAATAAATTTTTCACGATATTGAATAAACATTTTAAAAGTATATTGTGAAATAAATTAATTCATTACAAAATTGAAAATGGATTTAAAAAATTTCAACCAACCTTGAATTGTGTAAGCAGAACCAATGGTGCACGCGCATTGACGAATGTACTTTCTAAAAATAGTACGTTTTAATCCTCAGGATATCAAGCATATTTTATTGATGTTATGTCGAAGTCTTGGGTTTCACATTTTACTCTATAAGAAAGCACAATAAAACATTCGAATCAAATTTAAAATCAATAATGTGATAACAACAATAATAATAATGTAAATAATAATGTAAACATATATATTAGTTTCATTTTAATATTATAAAATAAGTAAATTCCGAAGGAAACAATTTTAAACTATTTTTATTACGAATAATATGTAGAGTGAATAATTGTTGATATTTTTTTATATATTTTTTATTAGTAAATACTGTATTTATAATAATTTAGTTATATATTCATGTATAATTTCTTTTCTTTTAAAAAGATAAAAAAAACTAGCATTATACAATTATTCAAAATTGAATATTTTTTATATATTATTTATAGATACATGATATTTCTATTTGAAAAATCTCACAATTTTCAATAAAATAAAATAAAATTTAATTCTACCCTTTATGCTATTCATAAGGCTATCGAACAATACGTATTGTATTAAATTTAAAATTAAAAAAAGTGTCTGGCAGAACCTGATAAAAATTATCCTTTATTAAATTTATGTACTTCCCGTATTACTTGCAATAAATAATTTAGAGTATTAATTGTAATGGATAATAATGCATAGATATATAATATAAACATTTATTTAGAGAATACTGTATTTAAATTATATAATTAAAAATATTTTATCGTAAATATTGTTTGGAAATATGTTATTTTATAATACGAATTATAATTGTCAAATTTTCTGTTAACACAAATTATGAAAATAATACTAGAAAGATAATTTTTTTTTTTCTCGAAAAAATTTATAACTATATTCTGTGTTTAAAGCCTAAAATTTATAATTAATATATGTATAGAATACACATTATGTGTATTGATAATACACATGTATAAACAGGCAAACACGCGCGCGCGCGTGCCCATATATATATATATATATATATATATATATATGTTTATTTATATGATATGAAAATTAAATAAGAATATGTATATAAATATTCTTTTCTATTATCACCTAGAATAGCATACACACGTAATAATATTTAAATATATTATTTATAGATATATTATCATACATTATTATCGACTAGTTTGTCGTTCTTTGATGCTGCAAAGTAGGCTCAAATTGTGTCTAGACATTTTAATGATCGAATTTTCTTTATCGATTCATAAAGTGAAAATTTTTTTCGTTCATATCAGCATACGGAGCTTCGAACAATGAGATGAGAACAACTTATGTATTCATTAACACAACTTACTGCTAAGCTTCGTGAAAATTAGTCACTCACATTTGCAAAGACTGTATTCATCAAAATGAGTTAATTAGAAGAAATGGAGTACTCATAATTCTAAGTAAAATAATGATACCAATGATTGAATGTCAATATTTATAAGTGTTTATTATTTCATATTCAATAAAGCACACGCGAAGGGACGTTAATGTGAATGTAATAAATTAATATAGAGATAATTCATAATATAGATATGAGCATATTTTTAAAATATTTGAAAAGACAATAGTATCAAATAATCAAGTAGAAATATAAATACCTAGATATCTTGTTAACTATACATAAGGATTATGATCATAATAATCGAGACAGTGCTTCTAACAAAATGAGATTATTGATTATAGTCTCAAAAATTAATTGGAGCAATTACGTGAAAATTTATATTGTATTTTCCAATTACGTTTAAACTTTTTAAAAATAGCTTATGAAAATTCAATAAAGTGAAATTTTTTTTGTAATTTATCTATGCTGCTTTAATTTATATATTAAAAACAATATGTTTTATATGTCAAAATGATATGTTTTTAAATTAATAAATCGATGATCAAAAACAAAAGAATGAAATAGAACAATTCAAGTTTTCTTAATCAAAATAGATTTTAATGAAATAGTTAGTATGAAAAACCTTTCGAGGTGTATGCTGAATTGTTTAAACTGTTTGTAAATTCACTTTATAAATTTATGGACAATAATACGTATTATACATAGTAGTAGAAGAAGTAAAATCTTGTATATAATATACAAGAGAAGAATAGTATATTACAATCTATAATCTACAATATAATTAAAATATATAATTATAATCAGATAAATCTAGATTAGGAAGATATAAATTTAGATTGTGAATAGATAAATCATTAATCCGTAACTCATTGAATATTTTTGCGTTTCAGAATAAACTTTGAATAATTAAATAGTTCTAATCCTAAGACTATTGATAACCATTCGCTAAATGGACCCGTAAGCTATTGCTTTGATCATGACTTGATGTATTTTATGATAAATCAGTAAATACTAAAAGGATTATACTAATGAAGATTATAGCTCTACCTTCATATACATTTTCCGTATATCTAAATATAAATTTAAAAATTATATAAGCTACGAATATCTTAAATAAATCTATTATAACACACATTACGTAGATTTGAATAGTTATTAAAAACTAGTATTGGCGAAAATAATTTTATATCACGTTTTTTTTTTATAAATAATTTTACTAAAATATTTTTTTGCTCTTATTTAATAGTAAGATTAAGTTTTTAGTTATTTAAATTTTTAAACCTCCAAAATCTTTATGTAAAATTAATATTAATTTTTCTTTCATTTTTAAATAATTTTTTTTCTTTTTTTTAATATTAAATTCGCAATATTTTATTTTATATAAAACATAGAGTGTAATATATATAGGGATGGACAGATTTTACGAAATAAACAAAATTTCGCTTATTATTGTAAATTTTTACACAATAAAATTGTTTTTTTCTATCAAGCGATCATATGTAAATCCATAATTTATATTCTTCAAAATGTTTGAATAAAAATTTAAAATGGTAATAAAAATAAGTTTTTTAAAACTACTCTTATATTCGAATAGTGCCAAGTAAGATTAACGTTCTACTTTTACATTGTCTTTATATACGTATTTATTAGATATATAAACTGACCTTGACGCAGTATTGCGCAATTCAGCAGAACTTCACAACTGGAAAGTACCATTAACTATTATTTTTAAAATGAGGATAAGAATTTTATAAATTAGCCGATTATTCGAATGCATGTTTCGCACCAATTTATTAACGTCATTTCCCCTACAGAACGCCGAATATAATGCTTCTCCTCATATGTAAATATATGACTTTATTCGAAGATTCCATATGAAATGTACCGATATAACGAGCTAACAAGTCGGATTTTAAAATGGGAAGCATTTGAAAAATAATTTAATTATAATTTATTCGATCGGTAACAGAGGGACAAAGGCACGATCTAATAATATTCGCAGTTTACGCCCTATTTCTCCCTTATTTTTCTCGTTGTTCTGTAAATGATGCTATGTCCAATACCCTATATTCGGGCGTGACGTCCCTGAGAAACAGGAAATGCTGCTCTATAGATACCTAGTGAAATCCTTGGACTTCCTACTAAATTTTTTTTTCAACGCCGTCTATATGTTTTTGTTTACCTCTATCTTCCTTTAAACTTTATTCTCTGTATTTCTCCCAATTATTAAATTATCTTTATTCTCCCAATCATGTAAGCTAACATTCCGCTAATATATACGATAGTGAAAAAAACAAGAAAAATAAGTCACTTTCTTCAAATTCAAAAAGTGACCTTCTATGAGGGATCCAAGTTTTTTCATAATTTGCTCAGAGGTCTTTTCGATTTAAGTAGTTCTGAATTTATGTAGCTAATGATTAACTTTTAGTTATAAATTTGGTTAATTTTATTTCTATTTTAATATTTTTAATCAACTTTATTAACATTGGTTTAATTTTGTCCTTTCTCATTTATAACCTATACCTTATATTAGTATTTAAATATATTCGTTTATATTAGTATTAATTTTATTAGTATATATATATATATATATATATGCTCGATCAGCTTTTCATCTAGATTGTAATAATAAAATGATTTATTCATTTAAAATAGTATAAAAATATGAATAGTACAAGTAGTTTCAAATATTTTTATGGGAAATATTTTGATGTTAAGACGAAATTGAACGTAATGTATATACTTTTAAGAATTACAGTCAACATCTCTCTCTCTCTCTCTCTCTCTCTCTCTCTCTCTCTCTTAAACTTATGTAAATAAAATCTTTAAAAACAAAACAAATTACTGGCTTTAATTGCAGACTTCTTCATAAAATATTAATATATATGTGGATCATTCATTATCTATTTAATAATTGTATGCAAGATGATACAAAAGAATTGATACATATTTTTTTTATATACTATACATATTCAGTAGATTACATATATATATGTTTATACTGCTAAGATTAATTTCTGTGTCTTTTCTCTTTAATCTTTCAACATTCAGCAGGTTTTATTAATATTTTTTCTATACGAATGAATTAAAAGATATGAGCGTACTTTTAAATTTTATTAAAAGGGAGTATATTCATGGTTCTCTACAACTTTCAAGATTGATCATAGATTTGAATGATAAATAAGTTTTATGCATTATATTAATTTTTCAGATTGAGTACAATTAAGTATAATGTGATATATTAAAATAAGTATTTTTCTTTAATTTATATCGAAAAAGAATTTTATTTCTACATTTGTGGATACTATACGATAAATTTAATAAAAATAATGTTTTAGTGCTATGTGTATTACAATTTTTATACTCTAGTAGTATACAAAGGTTCATTGTTTTATTTTAAAAAACTCAGTACCAAATGTAGTTCAAATAAGATAAATAGATAATTATTTAAAATTGTGAATAGGAATTAAAAATAAGAATTGTATTAAAATTACAAATTATATTAAATATTACTAAAATAATATTGTATATTCAACTTACATTACTAGAAAAGAAATTGAAAAAAGAATTGTACTGATATTACGAAGATAGACTATCTTTTTTAAAATGATTTTTCATTTTCCAACCAATCTTTTAAAAATTTAGGTGATATTTTTATCACTATTA